CGGCAGAGGAAGTAAGAGAGGTTTGGGTACAGAAGACAGAGTTAAACAAAGGTTGGGATATTAGAGTACTAGTCCACTTATCACTATCCACCCTTCTCGATGCAATAGTCAACGCGGTCCTGATTATCCTGCGCGACGACCGATGCTTCTTTATCCGCTCGTCTATATGAATTCTCTGTTTTCAGTTTGATTATGCTCTCAACATTCTAACCTTCATTCTGGTCCAGTATCCAAATGGACAGCAACCGAAACCGGCGCACCGAAGTGCACGAATAACGTTTGGTAAAGAACACTTAAATTGGTTGGTGTCTCGGGTTGCGCCTGGTCGTAGTCGGTGGCGGAGTATTTGGAGATCAACGGGTGTACACTGTTCGATTGCCTACCGCTTATAAAGGCATCGCGTATTGCATCACTACGATTCTGTTCGACCGTTACGCACCCAAAGTTGCGTCTTTTAGCTAGTGATTTAAATCTCTGGAAAAACTGGTGAAAGTTCTGTACCACTTGTTGCTTACAAGTGTTTAAAAGATAGCGCACGAACATTTCGTTTGGTGGTTCGACGAAGATTTTTTCAGTGTTGCAATGGCATGGTAACATCACGACAAGACTGGCTTGTGCATCATCTGGCCCAACGAGCTACACAGTGTGACTTGTATCAAGCTGAAGATCTAGTCGCGCCTGGAAGGTCAAAGGTTCGAGGTCATACGAAGTCCATTCCCCTGGTCCTCTTGGTTTGGGGTTCGACTAGAATTTGCGTTTCAGTCGGTAAAATATGGTGGAGGAGTAATAGGTCGAAATAAATAAGCCTCCACTTCGATTACCCTGCCTTACAGTGGAGAACTAAAGGCTTTGGTTGAGAGCCCTAATCGTTCTGTTTAGTGGCTGGGCCCGTCCATAAAGCTCCATTGCATACACAAGTTGCAAATAATTCCATACTGCATCGGTCGTCGCGCTAGATAATTAGGACCGCGCCACCAGTTACATTGAGCGGGATGGGTAGTGATAAGTGGGCTACTGCTGAAATATGCTAATCTTTGTTTAATCCTTCCGTATCCAGCCCTGTCCCTTTACTTCTTCTGACCTGTAGTAGTCCCTTAAGTCCCTCGCCAAGGATCGTTGTCAAATAACACTGAGTAATTTATCACCAAATGGCAATCCATTTGGTGATAAATTGGATAATTGATAAATTGCAGATTCTAATAACTCACCATACAGTGTAAGAACCATGATACGGGTAGGTCGACAAGCTTGTCTGGTGCATACAGCGGACTTTATTAATTGATGTCTGATGCGTATCGGAAACTCAAATCCAGAATTCTAGTAATATAAGCCTCTCAAGCGTGCTATATTTGTCTTCATGGTACGTTCTTCGCACATCAGGCAGCGACGAAGCCCATTCAGTAGATCAGCGCGGGGTAGGTATTGTACTCAGTAACAGGGCCGAATCCTATCTCATCCACTGAATCCCCGCCAGCAGTCGTCTATGTGCAATGCGTCTCCAGGATTCAATCAACGCCTGGAAGGGAAGCAACGCCAATTGTGTTTGTTCACCACATCCGCATATACACCGACCAATTGCAGTTCTGATACCCAAAAGGCCGCTTTCTACGATAAACTCACCGATCTCATTCGGATGAGTCTAAGTTCCGACATAGCCGTACTTGCGGTGGCTTTAACTCGCAGGTTGGAAAACTGAATTCGTCAAATGCTTGCCTAGGTGGTAAATTTGCTCTGCGGGGCTAGCAAACAGATAACGGCGATCGACTTCTTCAGTTCTGCGCAGACCATCATCTGTTCCTATCCAGCCCCAACTTCCGACAGCTCTCAACGGGCAGCAACTTGGCTTTCCAATTCAAGTGGTGCGCTAACTTAAGTGAATCACATAGCAGTAAGCTACCGTTGGCGTGGCTCAACACAAAACCGCAGGTTGTATTTGACCACCTGTGTTGAATCTGACCACGTATTAGTTTTAATGCAGTTCACTCTTAGACTCACTGGTCGGCAACTAAACCAGTAAAGTCGGTTAGCTCAGCATCGCCTATGTGTTCCAGCAGTTATTGCACGCTTTACGTCAGAACTAGTGCGTGAGCTAAGCACTCTTTAACGTGATGGTGTAGTTGAGCAGTGGGATCAGATTGGGCGAGCAACACATTCCGCAGCGAATGTTGCTTGTGAGCCTAAGCCTCCGGCCCGACGGAGGCATTGGATATCTGATGAGTCTGTAGCACTGATGGATTAAAAACGAAAAATCCCGACCTGTCAGGATCAAAATAGGATTAGGTGGCGTCTGCAACGTCAGTTCACGAAGGGTCTCGAGAAAGACCGTGAAAGCTGGTGGGCAATAATAGCTAATGAAATGGAAGTAGGAGATGAATCGAGGAATATATATTGCCTAAACAGTCCCACAGAGTACATTTCAAATAGAACAAAGAGTGGCGAACAAGCTCGTTTTCAGTGATTCGTAGTCATGCCAAATAAATCACAATAAATTTTACGCTGTTTATATGTAAATCAGTATTCAACCATAAAAACGCAAACAAATGTTTCGGGAAAGGGAAAATAACCTCATGGGTTATCCGGGGCTAAGTTCATCTTGGGACCGGATATGGAATTCTCAGTGATCACATAATTGTTGGGTCATCCGGTCGTTGGGATCATTCGGAATATGGGGTGGGCTAGGAGAGCTTAAGCGCCTGCACAAATTGTTTTTGGGCACACAGAGGGCGGTGGTGCAGCCGAATTTCTACCGCTTCCGCTGTGGCTAGCATACGGCAGCAAACCTGCCTTGATAATCGACCATGAACCCGATACAGGGGACGGAATTCTTCGGTCACATTCATAGTGTAATTTGTTTCAACTAGGTGTGAAACCACTGTACTAGTGAGTGACTTAATCGTTCCTGTGTTTAGCCAACAACAGCGTAATATTTATTGTGATCTATTTGGTATTACTACGAATCACTGAAAACGAGCTTGTTCGCCACTCCTTGTTCTATTAGAATATATATATATATATATATATATATATGTACGAACCACACACACCTTCCCGGTTGTGGTAGTGGTTACCAGCTCCATTGGGCATGGAGGTGCATTGGACACCTTGGACGTTGTATCCCATCCAAAGAGCGTATGGTGCGATGAACTGGACACTGGCCCCCAATTAAACTTGGTTTTCACTCACTACCTTGCCTTGCGGATCAGGCTTTGATCAGCCGAAGACTCCGGTTGTGAAGTCCCTAAAAGTTCACCTTTGGTCTGGAAAACCTAGCAGTATCGCGCGGGAGCACTTCAGGGTCTTTTTTGGCACATGCTGGACTCAGACGTGTGTAAAATACAAAAAACCTATCTAGTTTCTGCATGATTGCCGCTCCATCTTTTCCAACTGTTCTCTTTCACCTTTCATAGACATCTTCGCCGGTGCGTGACGTTTCGGTTGTCATGCAAAATCCCATAGAATTAGAACCTTGCAATGATTCTGAATCGTCAAGTCCTAATCAACAAGGTGGACGTTCTCATTCTTCTAATGGAAGAAAAGTACGAAAACGTCGGAAAGCATCCGGAAGATTGGGTAAGTTATTGTTATATGTTGGTCAGCTTGTCAACAAAGGTGTATATGTGTTTCTTTATCATGTATATTATGTAATAAACAGTAGAGAAATTGAACCCCTTGGTTGTATCTGGATTCCGGTTATAGTAATCGGGAACGTGAAACACACATTATGGATTTCCAAGTAAACCATGTCAATATTTCCGGGAAGCAAACGGCTTCATATTCATGAGAAGACAAATTGATACCTATTCTTTAGGTGATTTTGTAGCACTTAGGTTGGGTAACTCATCATTCAAGATTGCATTAGGCTGCCTAGTGTACGGCCAGTGGTGCTTTGCACCACCGGACGCGTTTCCAGGATTCTGTTAGAATGAATTTAACTGGAATGGTTACCTTTGAACAGGTGGAAACTGCTGTCGTGGTCCATAAGTGGTAGTACCTACATGTATATGTATATACATGTGATATATTCGCACCGCGTAAAATCCAGGAGAGTTTAAACTGTCATTAGGGTAAATAAATATAACTATTTATCAGTGGATAACGAGGAACAGAATTCAGGGACATTAGTAAAACTAACCTGCAAATGTGCGCATAGAAATGCAAACTTTAAGGACAAACTCTTCAACATATGTCACATGTTGTTATAGTATGCGGCGCTTTATTCTCGATGCAAAATTTCCCGAATTTCAGTCATTATTCTCCGCATAGCGTGAGTGTGTCCGTGTCGGCTAGCTGACAACATCTGTTGATCAATTAATCAGTCAGTCAATCGATCAATCAATCAGTCAATCAATTAATCATTCAATCAATCCGGCGACAGACAAGCGACACAAACGTATCAGTTACTTGTAGGCCACAACACCTAACTTCAGCTTTTTCACGGCTAAATGTTTTTCGTGATAACTAGTATAACTGTCCTTATTTTTACGTCAGACAAACAATAAGAGCTAAACCCATTTGGTGACGAGGATTTTTTTCTTCGTGCAGAGGAGTCGGCAATCAGAAAATTCGGAGATCCCAGCAGGCCATACGGTGCATTAAGCCAAAACCATTATAGAGAGTTTCACGATGGTCCAAGTCAGTAAATCACCTGCTCTATGGACGATTTAGGTTCTGAATCCTCTTCAATGTGGTTAGACTGGTGATAATGATCACCCTGGAGCTCCCAACTTTCCATTTTTCAATTCATCTGACAATCACCGACGTTCCTTTGTTTTTGTTAATTTTTATGTTTTCAGTCTTTAGTGGTGTTTGACGAGTATGTCCTGGTTCTCTCTTCTCGTCCAACTTTATATACGAGATACTGGTGAACTGTAAGTGCTGAATGGGAAGCTTGATAAAAACTGAACTTGCAGTATGCTGCAGATGCTGTGTATCTGTTCGAATGTATGAAGGATGCGCAAATCACACTTCATAGGGTAGTGAACTGTCACTCCTTCCACTATGTGATTCGCACATAGAAAACTTCATTTTAATTGCACACTGTTGTGTGGAGAATGGATCAGATCAACCGCATAATCGGAAAAACCTAATGCCCCTTTTGAGGCTCAACGACCAGGAGTTACGCTTTAAGTGCTTTTGCTGCCAAAGCAGCTATGGTGAGGCTACGCTGGTTAAGACAAGTTACGCCTGCTAAACAGTCGCCTACCACGCCGTGACCTGTTCGCAGTTGTTACTGCGCTGTAGACGTAACTTCGCAGAAGTCAACAGGTAAAGTGAGATATGGAAAACTGCAATGAGAGAGATTAGCTATGGTAGGTGTCTCTTATCTCTTTCCCCAGCGTCCAAAATATCATGTAACCGTTTGCTTTGAGACAATGTAGGACATAGCAGCTAAACTCAATGGTGGCATTTTTACCCGATCTTATTGTTTAAAGTGATATGAATGCAAAACAATACTGCATGGTGTGTTGATCACAATATTTCAGCTTCTTTCTTTTCTGAAGTGGTTCCTTGCCTTTTCCTACATAGAAATTAATTTTTGTACACACAGTAAGCTCGGAATCGACTAGCGAACATTACTTGTTTTTTTTTGTTTCACTTCGTTCCTTTTGCAGTCCATTTTAGTAGCGATTCCAACGACCAACTCGACGCATCGCGAAGTGAATTTCCCGATCATCAACCCGCTAACGAAGACCGCTTATCACCACATTCTCAACCGTCCGATGGTTCGGACAGTACGAAACTAAACATAGCCCGCCGCCTTCGCCCCCGACCACCCGAAGCAATGGTGCGTTATTCTGCCACGCGTCCATATCGTTCATCCCTCCAATTCCCTCCTCGGAAGCACGAGAGAGGTCGTCGGAAAAAGCGCAAGTTAAGAGCACGTCTTCTACGATCACCTTTGAGAAGTCAACGTACAATCACACGTGGCTCGCGGCTCCGTAGCATGGAGTCGACTGCCGATGAAGCCGTTGATTCAGATGATGACAGGCATCCGGATGAAGAGNTGATACCCGACGTTATCCCATACGCAATCGAAGACATACAACTGTTTATCAAAGTGAGTTGATCATATCGATTCAGACTGGCTAAAATCATTATGTGACCAACTTCAGCCGCTCCATGTTGGCACCGTGTCGACACAGTCTGTTCCGGGTAAGGTATATAAGTGTCTATAAAAATGGAATCAATAGGTTGGGTTTTGTGTGAATGAATGAATGAAAATGTTTTCACACAAATAACTGCTCAGTGCCATATTCTATAACAACTAACAACACTAAATCTTTGGGTTCCGGTTTTAATATCGGGCTGCCCCAACCAAAACCAGATCTGGTATAGGCTCTCCAGTCCCCTACTCCACGTTTTAGTTTGTCCATCTCACTGTTCCAATCTGGTCTAGTTTATGTAGAGTAAGGTTTTCGTTGAACCTGCCCTAGCGATCGCGGACGGTACATTGAAATGATCTTGCTTAACGCAAGACTACCTATCCGTAAGACAAGTAGGGCATCGTCGTTACCCTCTAGATGCTCCCAGCATATGCCGGTTGTGTTTCTCAGAAAACTGTTATTCGTTTGCCATCACCTCAAGAAGACAGTTTTGCAGTCATAGACTAACACAATCTGTACCTTTGCGCCGTTCACAAATCCTTTCAGTGAAACGGATATTTTTGTCCACATCAGAAATATACACATTAGCTAAGGGTGATCTTTCCCTAACTATGCGTTTGAAGCTCTCCCACACGTGCCAATCTTGTGCAACTCTGAGATATCAAGCTATCAACCACTTCCAGAGTGCCACTAGCTAGAAGTTGAAGGTTTAGTCTCATGTCGATCTTGCAGCAGTACCCTAAACTTTGAAGATGCAAAGTAGCCCATATTGAGCAACCTCGTTTCCTAAGCGTTATAGCACATCTTGCTTCACCCGTGCATTGTCACCCAGTGAGGCAATATCATCGGTATACTGCAAATGTACGTGTCTCCAAGAAGAAGCTGCACATTGGAATTTGTTGGGTTAAATAACACTCTTTGAAGAACCATCAATAATGAGTGTGATTACCTACGTGCCTCCATGACCCTGGTAGCTACACAGAATGGCTTTCTATAGCTGCAGCTCCAATCATGCATGAAAGATCGGTGGTTAAAGGTCGGATATAGCTCACTCTCATAAGTCCAACTGATTGGGAACCTCCTGGCTTCCTTTGACTATCAACCATTGTCCCTGGAGACGTCACTCCAGAGAATCAAAACCGGTGAAAAACCCGCCAGATAGACGTAGGAGCAGGGTACCTTGGGCTTCAACCTGACAGTGGGAAGTCTTCACACTTCATTGTACAGCTACCGCCCGCACAGGCTGGACAAACCCCAGCTACCAAGGTGGTGTCCCGTCCACGTTCTAGTTGTCCCATTAGGTTCGTGAGACCGACAGTCACTCCCGAACCGCGAAACGACAGACAACGCACTGACGAAGAATACANNNNCAAACCCGAAGCTCTTGCGTGAAAGGTCTCAGTAAGCTGCTGCACACTTGCTTCGGTCACACTCCCGCGTTGAATCCACCGTACACTTGTGGGTCAGACCTTTGAGTCGAAGACTCCGATTAGGGTTCTCTAAGAAAAATCCCTTCGTCGGTGTGGGCTATCGCTAATTATATCGTGCCCTAAAATCGCAGGCACTTATTTAGAAACCCACTTACTCAGTTATTTAGTTCTTCCTCTCAATCCCGTAAAATCGCAGGTGCCTCCTGTTTACGCCACCCATCCTTCATCACCCAGCGTATTACCAGTAAACCATCCAAAAGCTTTCGCTTTGATCAAACGAAAATCTCCGTTTCACTTGGCTGAACTCGATGTCCGCACCCTGTCAGATAGGACAGTAAACTACCCCAGCTGGAACCCTTGAAACTTTCCATTTAAATGTATGCATGTCCAGGAGACTCGGTCATATAGGTCCCGTTCGGATGGGAAACTTGGATCATTGTAATCAGTGGCACTGAGAGTCGCAAACAGTGGTGCACATGCATCGTTTCAATTTCCTTGGAACCCAAGTTCGTGTGATTACTTTATCTTCTCTTTTGACTCTTGCCGCAACATTCCATTTGTCTTTCTGCTGTTTTATCCAAATAGGTAGTAACGAGGCCGCANAGTTCAGGGTTAAAAGATCAAGACTAAAAAGAAACGTGCGCCGGTTTGGCTGATATTCCATCCTGGTCATTCGTTTTCGGTGGCTCTATTGTGGTTGTGTACCAGACATAGAGAGAATCTGGCTCGTAGCAGAGCATGGGTGTCAACCAGAAGAAGCGGCAGTCCTCAATGGATCCTCGCCAGCGGTGGCCGATGGCGACGTGGTCAATTTGAGTGCAGTGAAGAGGGTGGCGGTTTCTATGAAAGGTGGTGTCGTTTCTTGTGCGAGAAGAACAATCCATGATCAGCGCAAAGTTGAAGTAGGTATTCTTCGTTGTCCGTCCGGTTGGTTGGGATTGAATATGAACCCCCCAGTTTCAGTTTGTACAACCATTAGCCATGCACTTTCGTGCGCTGGTCTTGGTTGCTGTCTTTTAGCTGCCCATTTAATGAACAGTAGGAGAAAGTCAGGGAGATTGAAAGTAGAATCGAAGAAAAACTTGAGAATTTCAGGGAATTAATGTTGCAAAAAAGTTGAGAAGATGCACGAACGACTCTGTTTACGACTTTCAGCCATATCACTCAGTGTCTCTAACCATTGATTACGCTGATCTCGAGATCTCCATCCAGGGAGCCTAACAGGGCCTATGTGACCCAGACTCCTGGTTAGGGTATTCATACCCTCATGCCAGGTCTTAGCTTGACTCCTTTGGCTTTATTCCACCCACTGCCTGCCTCGGCGAACTTCGCTCGCCATGCCAACCTATTTGATGACATGCGTAGCACATTCCCCAACCAACGTAATCTATGGAGGTCGACCATTTGCTCCAGGGATCCCGCATGAGCATTGAGGTCTCTAACGACCACTACGATATTCGTTGACCGAACACTTTGGAGCAGTTGAGAGAGGTCCTTGTAGAATTCATTCTTCATTTCTGGCGAGCTGCAATCGGTCGGTGCATACGCGGATACGACGAATGAGCACGGATGATTCGTTCTGTAGCCGTTGACCCGTACGGATCCATTCAAGCGTACTGCGCCAAGTCGACTACTAACCGGAATCCAGTGAAGAAGTGAACGCTTGGCAGGGTCATGGAGGTACACAAGCCATCATATTTCAGTTAGGTACAGTCTCATCGTGATGGCGACCCTGTCCTACTCTACCGGCGGCAAGAAACGAGATCAAAAGGTCGTCATAAACCCTAATATTCTTTAAGGTCAAAGGGCAAATTTAGGATTTATGATCAGAATGTATTCCTCTGGCGCCCCGTACCCAAAGGATTGACCAATCAAAAGATGTATATACTACTTGCGTTTAATGGCGAACTAACATGAACTTCGTATCTGACAACTCCGTTAAGGCACCATTTTGTCCCCCAATCAACGAAAGCCAAATGCCTCTAATAGTGAAGTATAATAAAGTTTCATCAAAGCTAAAATGATACGTGAGTAATTATCATGACTTCTGAGTTGGTATAATCCATTTCAGTTCGTCCAATAGAAAACATGTGAGTAGAGAAGGAGATGATGAAAACCATAGAGGCCTGTCTGAGAGATTCATTGAGGAGATAAACATTTGTAGGTGAGAAGTTACGAAAAAGAAATCTAAATATGCTCAGATCGGGAGAAAGATTTGTATGCACTGTGTGAATAAACTTAAAGTCAAACTAGGAGTAAGCAATGATCACTGGACGAAATGGGTGCTCTTAGTGCTAAGGAAAAAGGGTTGGGTGGTTGGTAATTACTCTGTCCAGTATAGAATTACCTCTTTTGGGTGAGTGATAAAGATCTGTCATACCTAATGATAAAAGTGGATAAATACTAGTATGGTTTAAGTCGCCAACAGTTATGTGCAGGTTAACATCTAAAAGTGAGGCAATAAAAGGTATGAACGAGTCGATCAACATGCCAGAAAATACGTCTAAGCCTGTAATTTGGGTGGCCAACGAAATGCGAAAAGACTGTCGATCTAGCTCCACAACTCACCTGGTCGAAAGCAGTTCATACCGAGATATCGGTGGTGTCCATGCTTCTGTTCAAATCCCACTGAAGTTCACACATTTTTCGCGAAATATACAACTATTAGCACATTTTTACAATGTAATATTCTGCCCAATATGAACTGTTTAGTGCTTGCATTAGCACTCGAATAGAAAACAATCCATTTAGATGCGCTGATGCACTCATATTTTCCTGTTCTCCCATTCTTTACCATCATTCTCCCTCGAATCGCACGATTCGGGGACACGTTCAGTTGAGTACGTGCAAAATAACAATGGTCCAACGAGAGATTGGCTCGCAGGCACGGGTTACGAAAATGGACGCCGTAGACGTCGCCACAGAGGAAGGTAATTGTTTGTAAGAATAATTTTCTTGTTTGTGCCTTTCTGAAACTTGAAGATTGGCACAGATTCCTTTGTTATTGAATACTTTTTTTATGTTTGCATAAAGTAAGAATTAAATTTCCTGTGTTATCGCCAACAAGGACTGATAGGCAACAGTTTCTACCTCATGAAGTTCTAATGGATATGGGAGTCGGCGGAACACACTAATATCGAAAAATGTTGAAAAATGTTTCTGCGAAAACAAGAACTGTAATAGCAAAGTAACACCCGATCATATCAGGCACAGCATTTCAACCTGAAAACGCTAATACTTCAAAGAAATTTCAGAGGTTAGTGAATGGTTCTTCCATATCACATCCACAATCACCCTTAGTCTCCTATCGTGTCCATCATTTCAGCCTTCGAATTTCAATCACTTAATCAATACCCGCTTTGTGATACAGGTTTATAGGGCGTCAGGCTGCTTAACCACTGTCTGGCTCAGTATCACATCTGTTTATTTGAGTCAATGTGGTTCGACGCTCCTAGTGTTCCGGCTTAAATTGCCAATTATCATGAGTGAGCAGTAGGTCTTCGTTACTATGGGATTTCCTCTTC